CGTTTGTCACCATATTTCTGAGCACTATTTCCAAGCGTCTGAACCTACGGGCAGCATGCTTCTCAGGTTGGAAAGAACTTGAGCGACGTGACGGTCTCTGAGGTTTGTTTCAAATCTGAAGAGCTGCCTTTCAGGCCATAAGGATGACTCTGGCACTCAGCAAACACCTGACTAGGACAGGAAAGCAACTCAGAGCTGGAGCAAGAAGAGCCTGAGCTTGGTGAAGAAGGCCTGATTCGGTTCGGTGGGAGGGCGCAGAAATCCCCTCTTTCTTTGAGACTCGGCACCCCTCGCTGCAGCCGAAAAATTACATATTCAGCAAGCTTGTTATTCACGATTGCCTCGAAGCAGCTGATCATGAATGTGGGACAGAACATACTTATGCCGAACTTAGAGACCGTATCTGGAAGAGCAGTGGAATATCTATCATCGAAGTCCTGTATCCGATATCGCGTAGCCTGGCAGAAAGGAAGGAGACCTTCATGGAGCAAATCATAGCGCGGAAGTTACAGCTCTAAGTGTGTCCTTTCAAAGTATTGAACGCCGCCTGTTCTGTGGGGTAGCAAGATTTGAATGATGTTGCTATGGCGTCGTGTGTTCCTGAATGACATTGAAATGGTCTGCACGAAGAAGTCTGCACATCTTCGCGGGCGTTCAGCCCCAGAAACTAAATGGTTTGAGGCCTTACGAAGGACAGGGCTGCGCACTGCACCAGTTCAATTTCAGCTTTCAACTCTAAGCCCCATGCCAATGTGGAGCACTCCCTTTAAGACATGACTCAGTAAGGCATGATGCAGGCAAGCAGGGAGGTGAGCTTCATTCAGACACTGACGCGCAATGAATTTGCGATTTGTTCGCCAATCTGCAGTCACCTAACATCTAGCCTAAGATACCGGGCATTGGCTGTGAATAAATGGGTATCAATAAAAATACGTTAAAATCAGCAGCAAACATTGAATTTGGAACGAATTCATGCCAAATCGATCCTCACACTGAGATGACAATTTGAATCATAGTGGAATCATTGAACTGAAATCTGAATCGACATAGAATTTATTAACAACAGACAAAATCCTTCTTTGAATCAGATATGGATCGTTCAACCAGGATCGCGAGCTCATGGTGAATCGATTCTCAAACATTTGAAATGTACACAAGTCTGCATGTATTCATTCACCTCAGCAAACTTTCCGAACTTTCCGAAACTTTCCGAAAAGAAAAATCCGAATTTTGTGTCAACCTGTAGTATTCACCTATTAATACTGGCAGGTGTATTGGTTAGAATGGCACAGCTGCTACCGAGGATATGTCGAGTCTCTTAAATCCCAAACCAAACTACGAGCGAGTATGTAATGATATGGGTGAGTTAACTGACACCCCAGCGTGCTGAAAACTTCAGCGCTTACCACATCAATACACCGCGACAACCGTCCAGACCTCGTCCCGGGACCACCATGATTCTCTAACCATCATGCTGGCAACTTACCGTGACAATATATGATTTCCAGTTTGCGCCTGGTCTCGTGTCAGCCGCACACGTCACTCAAAACTCACACAAACCTGACATCGGCAGGCGCGCCCAGCAAGATCATTTTCTGACCTTTCCACCAGAACGACACGGAGAACCAGACAGACACTAATTGGAGCGCCGGAGCCCTGGCCATAAAGACGTGGCCAAATCCCTTCCGAACGGTAGAGTCCTATTTATAATTAAAAACGCAGTTATCGCTAGCCAGGAAAGCGCCTACTTGTACAAGACCCACGCAAGAAGTGGCCCGGAATGGCGTGCTAGATGCCGCTGTTGAGAAGTAAAATGGGCTTCTTCTATGTTTATAAAGCTTGCCGCGGTCAGCGTGCGTTAAATGGACCGCTTCACATTCTTACGGGATTATGACCTGAGATAGCTATTCTCAATACTATTCCCTGTGGTTTACAGTTATGCCCTTATTGAAGGGAGTGTTGCATGCTTGTGAAGGATTTCAAACTGAAAAAGCCATCTTGAAAATCATTCAGCGCAGTTCACAACCTTGCCCTTCTTAGGAACGTGAAGGTATGCACACTATTCCGTGCAGACTATTCCATGACACTATAAAAATGTCATTTAAATCCTGTCATTCCGTTTCCCACGTGGTGATCGAGACCATGAGAAACATAAGTGTCGAGTCGTCCATACCTGGCATTCGTGAGGATGACTTCCAGATATAACGGCCTTCAATTGGCTCTTAATCAAGTGTCGCGCAAGGTACGATGACGTATTCAAACAAGGATGTATGAAGGAGTAAATTAACCAACTACAGAAATAATGTTGTCTAGAAGTCTTCTCCACCTAAAACGATAACCAATAGTTTTATGTGAGCCGATGTCATCACAGCCGATGCTTGTTTCAACGTCTCTAAATGTGGAACATTCCGTTTAAGGATTCAAGCTTACTGGTGAATTCATAGAAACGTCGCGTGAAGTCCGCCTCCTCAATGGCCGTATTGTTTAAAGGTGACAAAATATTACCATTAAAACATTGTCTCTGCAGCACGTCAGGACGAACACAACATCCACGAACAGCATGTGGCCTTTAATCAGCTTAATGCGTCCAATGCAAGTCTCCCAGTCATAATAGAGGAGCTTGGCAGCGTGAGCAGTCGTGATTGAAACGAAGCTGGGAAACGAATAATTTAACACGCGCCCGGGCGGCCGGCTAGATGCCCTTCGCTCGGGTGGGGGTTAATTTGACCCCCCAAGATCTCAGGAACTAAGAAAGCTGGAGACCCCAAATTTGCAGGGAGTTTGACCTGTAAGTGAGCTAAGTTAGGTCAAATTTTGAGGTCACTAGGCCATAATCTTCGGGTCAAATACGCCCAAACAATGTCAAATTTCAGGTTGGTTTCCAAAATGACCCCAGAACCTAGATAACCTGTTTCTAAGCAAAAGATCACAAGCTCATTTAAGTTCAGTGAACTTGCTTGACTTTGAAGGTCATGGTGACCAAAATCACACAAGACTGCCCTGAGTTGTGCACTTGAATAAGGGACAAAGATTACGCTTGGCAGCATCTTTTTTTAAATGTCGACCTGGGTCATCTTAGGCCATGTTGTATTATTACCTCTAAGGAGTCAATGTCTTATTATTACCTCTAAGGAGTCGATTGAAGATGCATGATGCGGTTCCTGCCATCAATGAATTTAAAAATACCCGACAAAAAAACCATCACAAATACCCATCGATGGGTATATAAAGATACCCGACACAGCAAGCCCTAGGACAGTAAAGCAGGTTGGTTTTGGCCTTGGTCTGACCTTCATACCTGACCTTAGATCAACTTAATTTGCTCATTCAATGCTTGTGTTGCCTAATCAAGCATCTTAAGGATGTATAGCTTCGTCAAACACTTCGTTGCTGCATCAGATTGAATGATTCCCTAACATTGCTAAAATCATGGCCAGACTTTGACCTGCCATAGGTCAGTGACCTTACATGGCACACTTAATTTTTTACACCAAACGATCCGCTATTCAATTGTGAACAGCCATGCAAAATTGGACGCGGTTTCGCCGCGCCGTTCAGAAACTGTTCTGGAAAACCCTTCGGTGAGGATCAATTTGACCCCCACCCGAGCGCGTGTTAGCAATAGCGCTGCGACCGATAAAGCGAACGCAAGTTAAAAATGTGAAATACGGCCAATATAGAACATCACGAGAAGAGCAAAACACACGCACATAACGATATTCGGTTTGGATTACACCCACGCACGTACGTACGCACGCACGCACACGCGCACGCACGCACGCACGCACGCACGCCCAGATAAACAAGCCACCTCTCGGCAAGTTGCGCCAGTGAGTCACCTCGTCTGCTATAGTGGCAATCCCGACACTGCCAGTTTGGCAGGGACTCTGACGCCATAACCTTACGTGGCGTAATCCAGCGATGACGCCGCATTGAGTAGCGTAATTACTAAATAACAAAACTGTGTTGTCTAGAGCAGGTGTTACACTTCAAAGCGTATGAATAGTTAGGCGTACGCCTTTTCTGTGGTGTCTGATGCATGATATCCACGGTATCTCGGTATCTTTAAATGCGGATAATTCACTTTAAGCAGTTGACCCTCAACACGCTGTAAGCATCTCGCAAGGTTGGAGACACTTTCACCAGGTGCTGTTCCACCTGCAACATGCACAGGGAGCAGAGTCGTCGGTCCCGGCGGCATGACGAGAGCCACCTCCTGGCATGTGGTGCTCCATGAATATCTTGGTGAGGGGAACTGCCTAGATTTCGAAGCCGGGCGCAATTTAGCCCAGCAGCCCCCAAGCACTGGGACAGAATGCTGCTGACAGTAGATACGGCGGGGTATTCGTACACGCACGCGCGCTGCCGCCGACACAACGACCACAGTGGCCCACGTCCCCACACCGATCAAGGTGGCCACGGCGGCCCTTGTCCTCACACCGACCGGGATGGCCGCGGCGGCCCTTGTCCTCACACCGACCGGGATGGCCGCGGCGGCCCTTGTCCTCACACCGACCGGGATGGCCGCGGCGGCCCTTGTCCTCACACCGACCGGGATGGCTGCGGCGGCCCTTGTCCTCACACCGACCGGGATAGCCGCGGCGGTCCGCGTCCTCACACCGACCGGGATGGCCGCGGCGGTCCCCGTTCTCACACCGACCGGGGTGGCCGCGGTGGCCCGCGTCCTCACACCGGTAACCGAGCGGTAAAAAAGGTAAACGCACGTTGCAGCTCCGAGTCATTCGGCCTCAGCGGATGTCACGTCCTCATTCGGCCTCAGTGGATGTGCCGTCTTCATTCGGCCTCAATGGAAATCCCGCTTTCATTCAGCCTCAGTGGAAGTCTCGCCCTGATTCTGCCTCAATGGATGTCTCGTCTTCACTCGGCCTCAGTGACGGTCTTGTCCTCATTCAGCCTCAGTGGATGTCCCGTCCTCATTCAGCCTCAGTGGATGACCCGCTCCCACTCAGCCTCAGTGGAAGTATCGTCCTCATTCAGCCTCAGTGGATGTCCCGCTCCCACTCAGCCTCAGTGCAAGTCTCGTCTTCGTTCTGCATAAGTAGAACTTCTGTCTGCTTCAGTGAAAGTCCCGTCTTCAGTTTTGCGAATGCAGCTGATGTCGCCGACAGAAGGCCGCTCTGGGAGCCCGTCAGCGCGCGTCGCTGATTGGACGACCCCGCCGTTCGCTTTTGGACCGCTTTGCATTTAAAGCAACTGCTCGGGATCGTTTTCACAGCGAAAGAATCTAGCCGTCCATTATCATTCACCGCTGTTCCGTGACAATTCATGCACGTCAATGCGCGTCAATCCGACGTGGCACGGACATGACAGATACAGCTCGGCCAACTGGCATACGATGAAACGAAGAAATAATTTTATTTGGAACCCAGTCTCTTGTGATTGATAGCAGGGGTTACCTCACGTCCTGCCATGAACAGAATGAAACTGACGCCATGAGAGCGATGTTCATAATATACCAGACAATTTTCATCTCCGTTCTGCTTTTGGAGACCCCGGTAATGTGCGCATGTACCAGCTGTTGAATATGATAAAACCGGGCTGCATCCGTTTACCTCCATGCTCTACCGAAATATGACAAAACTAAATTGCACGCTCTGCGGGAATAAGAAAACGTAACGGTTTAAATACCAACCATGCGTGCATACCTTTCGTATGCAACAGAGACACGATGTGTGCAAGTTGGCAGGCCCGGCTTGTACAAGAGAGTCGCCTACATATTTGTTTTCACACAGACAGCTCCAAGAATTATGCATACAACCAGTAAGACATTAGCGCGCCATGGGACGAGTTAGAGAATCACACGCGTAAAAATGTTGATAACATCATATTCCTGATGTTAAAATAGAATATAGCGTGGCGACGCACTTTTGGGAGCCCACAGAAATGGATCATCTAAGTAAACATTGCAGTCTGTCTTTCACGGGCGTTTTGTAGAGAGGTTCACGGATTGTATTAACCGCCGTGCCAAATCACAAAGCAAATTGTTTGAAAACTGGTGGCCTTTGTTGCTGGCTTGGCTGGTAATACCACTGGATAAAATAAGAGAAGCAGTAATTGTTGGCATTTTAATGGAGCGTGGTGCGTTGCTGAGCATCACTACATCATAAATAAGATTGTTTATTATATCCTTAGCGGCACCATATAACGACAGGTACGTTTTCCCAAACACGACACAATCGTAATAAAAATGTGCCGCCATCTACTAGTAAAATTTTGGCATGAACTCACATGAAGTGTTCTCTCTTCGATTCTTCTATGCGTTCTTTCTCGTCGCAGTTCGAGTAGGCAGCAGTCATTAATAGAATATTGGCAACAGTGCTGAGAGAACCGTGTGATTTGAAGACACATCAACTCATTGCATTTGCACAGTTTCCTTGCTCTTCAACACTAAGCTAATATTATTGATCATGCTGCCCAAGGTGCATATGTGAGGGCATGGTGTCAGAGGTAGGCACTAATGTACATCGATAGGTAGGGCTTGGCTAGTTTTTCCTAGATTATTTAAATGCGTCACGTCATGTTTAGGATTAACTGCATCGGACTGGTATTTGGCTTAAATAGTTTCGTGCATGATTTCACCAATGAATCCATTATACGATGCGCGCGTGGCTGTGGAGTTGATTTTTGATGCACAAAGAATGGTCCTATGCTGTAGGCTTGCCAGCTCTGCGTGGTCTGACGTAGGTACATATCAACACCTCTGGTTTTAGGACCATGTATTGTTTATTTTGCTTGTAAACCATTGTACCCTGACGAAACGAATGTGAACGTCCATGTTAAGGAGAAAGTGCATCGCTCAAGCTCGTGACATAGCGCTCCAAAATCCGAAAATGTCAAAATGCTGACTGCTAATGGAATTATGTTTCCCCTTGATGCTGCCTATTGCGTGGTTGATGACTTAAATATAATAGATGTACAGTTCCTGCACACGCTTAGTATACGGTTGAACGTTTAAAGCGACAGCTTTTACAGTAAGTCAGGGCTTTGAATAATGTTGGTATTCGTGTCCATGTCCATGTTAGTGCTTGCTCATGTTCATATTTGTTAAAACTTACAGCCGTGTCTGAACTGCTCCAAAATGTTGTGTTTAATCCGCGGTTTCGCCTGTCCACAGTAGGCACATGCACGTCAAAACGGCCCATGAAACAATTCAATCCCTGGTTCGTGCTGAAACGTTCTGTTCTGTGGCCGGCTGCACACATCCACCTGAAGCTTTGCCAGGGTGTTGTCCGTCCTCTCCTCTATCATACGGTGCTGGTTGGCAGCTCTTTCTCTACGTTTCTGGCAGCAATCGAGTCGAGAAGGATAAATTATGCTTGCGATGCAATATCAGATGAAAATCTCAGCTGATCAGGCAAGTCGTACGCATCCGCCTTAAAACTGACGACGCATAGCTTTTGAAGGGAGTATGCATAGCACTAGTCAGAAGTTCTTCTGAATAGCTCAGGATTCTAATTTGAGTAGTCGCTCCTGCGGAATAAATATCACTGGACCCCTTGCTCACCACTATCAAAGTAACACATTACATTTGCCTTGCTTTTTTCCATGTGTGTGCTCGGTAATGTTTGCATTACAACATTTTGTCACAATGTGCGCGCAAAAAATGTAACAAAAGTTTAAACCACTCTGTTAAGACACAAATATATGCGAGCATGAAGCATATATGCCGCGAATTCGACAAAACGGTATCAAACGGCTTTGATTGCTCATCTTTGTACACACCTCAGTGTCTCTCTTAGAGGCGCACTTTGTCTTTGGGAATGGGAGTATCACATGATCCATGGTGACGCACTGGGTTAAACTTAAACCAATGCGCTTATCGGAAACAGGTCATTGCCGCCCGCTGGGCCAATCACAAACGTTCTTTTATTGGTACCAGTAGAGGCATATTGACGGTTGTAATGACGGCGATCGCGACCGCAGGGAGGAAGCTTAGTGCTGCCATGAAGCGATGAGAGCGGGATTTGGACTCGAAAATAGTTTCATGTATACATATATATATATATATATATATATATATATATATATATATATATATATATATATATCCCTTTTGTGTCTTGGCGGTGCTCAGTGCTACAGCCTAGTAGTGTTACATAATACGTAACTAGTTCTGACACCTTTCACAAGAGTATGTTTTTGAAATATGCCTGCAAAGGCGGGACCCCTCTCTAACGCAGTGTGTTTCTGGTGCCTGAGAACTGCATATGTGAATGCAGTGGTTCCATTGGATGTGACTGCAGACATGGCATCAATGACTGCAAAGATAGCTTTAAACTTATATCGCCGGTTAGATAAGGTTCGCTAGGTGTTCTACAAGGGTCGCAATAATGGTAGACATGCCATTCATACATTGCAGGCATCACTGTAATTTGTCTTTGGAACACCCCATTTTGGGAACATCTCCTCGGCTTAATCGGCCAGTAATCAGTCGTTACGGTGGTTGGCGTGGTCTGTGCGCTAACGTAAATATGCGTCGTGACAAATATTATAAATTAGTGCAAACCAGTTGATCGCATTTCACATGATGTGCTCTTCGAATTACCTGAACTGATGACTGCTTTATTTTCCGAGCAGTTGCCACGCAGAGCTGTCCGCAGCTCTGCGTTGGATCGGTGGATCGGGGTGCCCAGGTGTGCGGTACCCCGATCCGCCGATCCAACGTTATTCTGTCAAGTCTACCCAAGTTCACTGGACGATCCAACTGCCGGCCTTTCGTCGGACAGGACTGAGTAGAGTTTCGGGGCTGTCGAACACTACGACATGACCGAATTGTTCGAAGTGGCCCCCTTTGGCTATTGTCAACTGAGCTTCCCATGTCATTCGGGTCAGAGTGCCCGGTACGAGTGGTTGAATGTTACGTAATTTTTATCTTCAGCTTTACTTATTTAGCTAACGTAACAACATACCCGTGAAGGCAAGATAATGAACAACTGCTTAATTAGCATGCTGTGAACGTAGCCCCAAAAGCGCAAGAATGCCCGCTATGTGACCTAGGGGCTGCCCAACTCACCAACGGTTTTCGGTTTTCGCCTTTCGCCTCACCGACGCCTGACGGTTTTCCCGTTGACTTCAGTGAGCCGGTCTGCGATGCTAACGAGCTCAACAGCCTCATACATCGCTGCATGCCCATAAAATGATTATTACCGCTTGACTTATCTTCAAAGGAATCTCGCGATAGGCAAAATTACTGAGCAAGCATTCTGCGAAGAAACGCGCGATCAAGTGGCGTGGTTATCATTGTGAGTTTTCTGTGACGAAAATAACAGGTTTTATATATGACAGGAGGCACTGGTGTAACTATGTTGGCCAGAAATAATTTGCATATATCATTGGAAAGCTTCACGTTTCAAGGAAGTTTTGATGGCCACGGTGAAGCTGGTGGCAAAAATTCAGAAAACAAAACTAGAGGCGAGCGAGAGTCAAAAAGGTCCCAGATTCTGTGCAGATCCTGCCAGGGCAGACTGGTAAAACAGCAGCTCACGCGTGCTCCAATGTCCGTTCTAACCCCCAATGCACGGTACCGTATTGAGGGCTGGGGAACCAAAATAACTGGGGTGAAATGTCCTCATGGCCTTCATCGAGTTTAAAGTTAAAACGCACGTCCTAGGAACACCAGTGCAGTCACTCAAACTCCCATATTGCATCACCCGATACACGACACTGTGCTAAAGGCTGGTATAAACGCAGACGACTAGGTCGAAGGGTTTTGATGACCAGCACCGAGCATAAATGTTAGAGCATGTTTTACGATAAGACATCCGTGTTAACTCCCTTCTACTACTTAATTGACTGCAGGACAACCGTACTCACTCGTGTGTACTCAGTGATCCGCTGAAAGATGACGGCGCTTAAAGACACGGCCAGGAGGCTATTTGTAAGCGCACCTTACCTCACAAAATACACCACTGGAGCCATGTTCTAAGACTACGTTTGTGAGCATCATCTGTGATGAACGATACGGATGGGCAACGATCGGTGATGCGATCAGCGATGGCATGTCAACAATTCAACGCCAGATTGTGCTTTTTCCAACAGCCATAAGCTAGCATACGTTTCAAACATAGTATGACCTTACTTACTCACCTGAAC